CTTCTTCACAAATAATACTAAAGCTTCCAACGGTGAGGCGTCAAGTATGATCAAACCATTATAACTCATGCAGTCGGCCCTTCAACTCCTGCAACTCCTTAAATGTCATTATGTAGAGTGTCTTGGATATAGGCTCAGAACTTGGCAAGAGCTCAATAGCAAAATCAATCTCTTACACTGGTGGTAGCTCTGATAAATTATTAAGGAACACTTCTGTATATTCTCTTACCACTAAAATATCTCCCAAAGACTGTATTTTCTTAGAAGTATATGTTACCTGAGCAAGAAAACCTTAATTTCCACAATTCAACAATTTAAAAGCCTTCAAAGATATAATTATCATGGATGTCAATCCTCTGCCACCACAAAATTTAATTTCTTCCTCCCTAAGTATATTTATTTTGACGGCATTTTTATTACAATCAATAGCGACCGTTTTTAGACATTTAATCCATGCATAAAATCACCTTAAACTCCATCAAGGGTAAAACAATAAGTTGCGCCACAAAATATTTTCTGTCAATCTTTAACGCCACCTCACATGACTGATTGACCTCCATAAAAGTATCATTTGACATTCTAACCGATAAAAATACAAACATAGAAATGATATTCAATCGCATCACTTTAACCAGTTCCTTAGCTATAAAAGAGTGTGATGCTCATGAATTAAACAATACTCTTATCGGCCTACTCTGAAGATATATGATACATATCATTAAAATCATTACATTGAACATTAGAGTTGACTTATTTCTTGCGGGTTATTATGAATGACATTACATATATTTTATGATGATTGAGGTGCACAGAGCTAAAATTATTAAGAATTAAACATACCTGTGATGACATCAGGGGAGTTCTTAGCTTCCTGCTAAGAAAGTGCATATACTCTAGGCTGGACATTTTGTTGAGTCTGACCTGTGTTTGACACTAATCCTAAAGATTTAGCTACCCTCGGTCTATCAAAGCTCATCTAAGATGGTGTAGTACTGCTCTTAGAATCAACTGGAGACCTCTGACCCAGTATAAGGCAATTCTTCACCATATGTCTTGAATGATGACACCAAAAGCAAGTGTTTGATCCAGACAAACACTTGCACTTGTGAGACCTACCATACTTATCACATTTCTTTTCTTCAAACTGAGTGTCAACACTGTCGAATCTAGCCTTTTTAGCACTGATATTACATGACTGGAAGGATTGTCTGCTCCAAGAGCCTTGAGAAAACCTAGATCCCTGTGAATTTCTTCTCTTTTGAATCTCTCTTCCTCTAAATAGCTTCTAAATCTAATTCAATTCTCCTGGCTCTCTCCATCAACACCGAATAATAACAGATTCCAAAATGAATCAATTGTTGTCTGATCACATCTCTCAGTTAAGACAAAAATCGGTGGCACTTTTCAACATTTGGAATCAGCCGGGGCGCATACTTTGAGAGCATGGTGAATTCAGCTGTGTATTGCATTATCGAGCGACCACCCTATATCAACCAAATAAACTTGTCCTATATTTGTCTTCTGGCTGACAGTGGTACGAACTAGTCTCTAAAAGTACTCACAAACTCTTTCCACTGGATCATATGGTTGGCCCTACCCCCATATTTCTCTAGTAACTACTCTCGCCACAATCTCCCTGCTTCTCTCTCTAAGACGAAAGTGGCTAGAGTAGTCATTCTCTCCGGAGGACAAGACAATTCATCTAGAATTTTCTCGACTTTTAGCAGCCAATTTTCAGAATCCATCAAACTTCCTCCAGAAAAGAGAGGTGGCCCATAGCCTAAAATAATTTTAAGTACTTATCCATCTGACCTCCACTGAAACTAGCCTGAGTATGAGAGTTATCAATCAACTGCATTACTACAATCATCATTTCAGTAAATGCATCCGTATTCACAGTAATTTGTAGGGGTGTAACAACCTCTATTATATCATTTTTTGCTCCTACCCTTCATTTTCCATATTTTTGAAGATTAAAATTAAACACAATTTAACCGTTCATTAATATCACTTGTGAATTAATTTAATCATGCTAGTGACAATTTTAGATCATGATTTAATCTAATTGTTGTAATACATCTTTCGTCATGATCTAGTCCGGGGCTTTAAATTAACTGAGATAGAAACAGACGGTCTGACGATATTAACAATTAAACAACAATCCACAAAATTATAGAATCTTACAAAATACAAAAGAGCCACTAAGAATTCTACAATTTCATATAAGCAAATTTAAATCATTCAACAATAACAGTAATAATTTACAAATAAAATCTCAATCCACATAACAACATTTTACTATACAAAAGAAACAGTGCAAAAAGAAACAATAATTACATCATAAACTAGTACCTATCAATTGTAGTCCTCCTATAAACCTAGTCGCTTCTACTAGACATATCAACCTAAAGTTTTTTTTTCCTGAAAGAAACTATTAATTGCAACAGTAAGTTTGATTTAGCTTATAATCTTAATATGCATTAAATTATTATGTCAATGCTACACACAAATAACCAAAAGAAAATACAACTTATTACTTTATAAAACTGTAAACTTTCACCTTAATTTAATCCCTTCTTGTTTCATTTCAAAAATTTATTTATTTTTAACATTTTTAAGAGCCATAGCAGGATTTCTGTCATACCTGAATGTATCCTCAAAAGTGTATCTGAATGTACCCTAAAAAATTATACTCGTATGTACCCTTAAAAAAGTACTCGAACATACCCTCAAAATTGAAGCTAAAGATACACAATTACCATTTTGTTGTATCCTACAAAAATATATCGCATCTCCCGCCAGTACCATCTGAGGGTAATTCTGTATGACTTAATATCTATATTTCATTTCATATCAATTTAAAATTATTTAAAATATATCTTAATATGTTCATTATTTTCCTCTCATTTGTGATATCATTTCAAACTTTCAAAATGCCATAAATGAATGAAATACTTATTTTAAACTATTTAATAAAAGCAATTATTCATTAATAAAATATTATTTTAATGCATAAAATAAAATAATTACTCACTCGCTTAGCTTGCTTGCACAATGATTCTCAACCCTCCCGACCTTCTAGGCTTAAATGTTATTCAACCTAAACTGTTGTTAAACATAAAGAGTTTATTAAATATCAATTCCAAATTAAGTAAATTAAACTTTAATTTTTAATTAAAAGATATCTTAACTTTTAAATTTATTTATCTTCTTTCTCAAATCCAAAGAATTTGTCAGCCTTCTTCATCACTTCCTAACAAAAATAACATTTAATAATATTAATTTAACTAATTATACTACTAATTCCAATAATAACATAAAGCTTAACATTTATCTTATAGGCTTTTAGATCGATCTCCTCTCTTGTTCGCTTCACAAACATCATCTCTTTCAAAGCATAACTTCTTATATTAGAGTCCTGATTAAATTTGACCTTGCATTAAACACACAAACACACACACACACACACATACATACACACATATTTATATATTTATATGATAATATATTCGCTAACTTACTAAATCTCAAATATACCTTTTTACAACTTCGTCAACCTAACCTCATGCACGAGCTCCCTCGTTCTTCTACTTCGGCCTCAGCCAAAATTAATAGAGTAGCACATGCAGAGCCTTCAGCTCCCCTCCTCTTCTTCGTTCCTGAATCGCCTCAACAGAGATGCGCACTACCTCATACTTCTTCTTGCACAATAGCAACACACGAAGCTTCCCTCCTTCCTTCGAGCGCGGTAACAATGCACAAAGCCACTTCTCTTCTTCCTCTTCCTCTATGCGAACATAGTGCCGAAGTTCGACCCCAAGTAGGGCTCAGTTTCCTCTTTGCCTGCACGAAGTCCTCCACCCTTTTTCCTCTCTGACGCAACTTGATCCCGCACCACAAACCCTCGACGATGCTTCCCTTTGACTAGGTTTCGGCATCAAAACAAGTAAGAGATGTTCACTGCTCCTTTGTTTCCTCTTCTTTCTTCTCCTTTCTTCCTTCCTCTCCTTCACTATCGTTATTCTTCTTCTCTCATTGACAAGCCAAAAATTTACAGCTTGAAAGAATCCACTCCCTTCTTCCTTTTTCCTTTGTTGCTCTCCCTCTCTCTCTCTCGTTTGATGGTTCAAATGGGGGTAATACGACTCTTAAGACATAACCAAAAGGACCATTATCTTAGTGCCTATTCAATTAATTATTATTATTATTATTATTTATTTTCAGTTATTACATGTTGAACTCTAGAACTTGATTTGCCTAAATCTCAATGATGTCAAAAGATCCCAACCAGTGGCCTTGACTCGAAACAAGAGCTATGTCAGGCATGCTAAATCTTTTATCATCCCAAACCTCTTACCTCATATTTAAACCACTTCTCTCACAATGAAGAGTTCAACACCACTACTATGTGCAAACGTGATAACTTCCACAACATAACATTAACAGATCTACCAACCTATTAAAAGAAGACTTCTACTAAAGGAGACCCACCGTAGGGCTCCTTCATTGGCATAAATTAATATGATCGCTTACCTTACCTTTGTTGATAACTTCCTCCTAACAAGTTGATGCAACACCAACCTTGTCCATCACCCACTCCCCGCGAATGACAACCACCCCAGACAATACTCACCACAACTCTTACACCTCGGATTAAACTAAAATGATTAAAGGTTTACTAGGCTTGGATTGAAATAAAACATTTAAATGTAGAATGCCTCGTTGAAAATATCCTAGGATAATTGATTTAATTCTCAGATTGTGCCACAAGCAGGAGTCTAGCTTTACACTAAAGATGATGATGGCATTTATGAGATTATTATAGCCAAGTATGAATCATCCCAAAATGAAACAAATAAATTATATTCTACTTGCTTAAATTTTCCATGTGATATGCAAATTCAAAAAATTAGACGGACAGGGCAATACAGTTTTCAATCCAAACATGATCAACATATCATTTTAAAAAATATATATATATCCTGTGCTAGACACCTCACCCAGGCAATTTAGGCGATGTGATAGTATATGAATTGCTTAAAGTAGCAACGACAATAGCAGCAATGGCTAACTGCAGACCGACAAATTTTTGGAGCTCTTCCAAAGCATAATCCTGTCATATAGTTCGAGTTGAAAATAAATTACAGAACACAGGAATGATTTTTATATTATGAAGATTACAATATCGCACCTTCAAAGTAATAAATAAAAGGCTGAAGGATATGAAAACTGAAATCAGACAATATGAACATGATGTCCCAGGTAATTTTGTGCCCAGAAGGTACAAGAAATAAGCACTTGCTGTTGCCATTGATGTGGTTATCCCCAGTAAAAGAAAACGAACATCAATTTCACCAATTCCTGGTATCAAATTCTTCCCAGATTGCTGTACAGAAAGCAATGTAACTAACCCATATGAAACCATGCCAACAAGTGGCAGTGGAACACCTGAAAAATGCAAAATTAAGCCTTTGAGAACATTTGAGAACCTTTGCCAAGCATGTCACCTTATCCATATTCTTATGAAAGAAAAACAAGGTGAGTGTATTGACAAAGAAATGAAGCGAAGCCAAATAAGCGAAGATAATTCTCTAATGGTATAGGGTGGACAGCAATGTGAATTGCATTCACACAAAAAAAAAACGGCTTCAAACTCCTGTAATAGAATCACATTCTCATTTTTAATGAGAGTTTCATTAGACTTCAAAACAGCAGCTTTGCTTCTATATTTCAGTGAATTGTGGAATGACTCAACACTTAGTGTGTTTAGGGCGGCTTTTCAGCCGCTTTTCATTTTAGAAAGCAGTTCGATGTGTGTTTGGGAGCCTCATTTTTTTGGTGTATTTCTTATAATCTAATTCATAATTTTTCATGAATTCCCTGTTTTACGCTTGGTTTGCAACAAACCCCAGGCATAAAAGTGAGCGGTTATTTTCGCATGCCTTCCTGCATTCGAATCGCCTGTATGTATTTTGTTGTTCCTCTTTTGTTTAGGTCACACAAAAAAGTTTTCTTATGCTTTTTCTTGTTTTTTCCTTCCCTGTTGCTGGATTTCCATAATCTGGCCTTCTTTGTGTAAGGACTTCTTGATTGTTGGTTTTGGTGTGCATTTCACGCTATTTTATCTTTACATTGCATGTTATCTAGGGGTGTCAATTTGGGTCAGCGGTTTGGGTTCGGTTTCGGGTCCGGGTCCGACCCGAAAATGACCTGACTTGAATAGGGTCAACTTGAACCCGAACAATAAACGAGTTCGAAAACTAAGACTCAAACCCGAGCTTGACCAACTAACTCGAACACGACCCGAACTTTCGTGCTTATTTGGGTCATGTTTGGATTTTCGGGTTCAACCCAAACCCGACCCAAATAATAAATAGGTCGAATTCTCTGACCCGAACCTGACTTGAAAAATATTCAAGTCAACCCCAATCAGGATTTTAGAGTCAAATTTGAGTCGTGTTGGCGTGTCGGGTCAATTTTTGACACCCCTATTTTTTACCTACTTTGAATTTATGAATAGATATTTTGTTTTTAATTTTTTAGGGTTTGTTGTGTATTTATGTTATTATTTGCGTAATGCTGAAAGTTTAGGTGTGAGTTTTACCAGTGCATAAAACTTGTGTTTTTTGTTTGGTTAAAAGTATGCATTCCATGCTATTTTGGTTGGGGTTCGGTTGGTTGTGGCTAGGGTTGCTATGGTTGGTTGTTATTGGGATTGCTTTGATTTTTGTCGTATTTATTGGTTGACATCCAATGACTTTGGGATTTTGTGGTGTGCAATACATGCTATGTAAATGGAAATCATGATTTGGTAATTTATTTTGTTTTACTTTCTTAGGTTTTGCACTTGTTTTAGGAGGTAATTTTGTCATTAGATGTTAGGTACAGTCCATGCTATGTGAGTGTAATTCTTATATATTTACATATCTATAACCTAGATTTCAATTTTTACATATAAGGCATTTTACCTATGTATTAAAAAGTGTATTTCACTTTTCATAGTTGAAATAGTGATTTTTTTAATGTAATATGTAGAGTTTTGGGTTATAAGAATGCAAAATATAAATTATTTGATATGTACATACATAAGAACTCATGAAATGTAAGTAAATGCCCCATCTTGTATGTAAATATACGAGTATTGTTGGTTATTTAATATATATTTGACTGTTTTGCATACATACAAGTCAACTCTTCTATATTCATATAAGTACTTCTCATCCTCATGAATATATGATTTCCAGCATTTTCTGCATTTATAATTATATGTTGTTGTATTTAGTATCGTAATAACATCATGCATTTTATATATAATATGGGTTTCGACGTCATTGTTTTTTATAATGTTATGTAGAGCAATGATGAATAAAAATATAAAGCTCAACCGATCACAAACTATGACTCATATAATTATCTCCACTTGTTTGAAATCATCGGATGTTATACCAAAAATATTGTCGGCTCTTAAAGCCCGCACACACAATAAACCACATATAATGCATGGTTTTAAAGCCGCACAACACAGCCAATCACATATACTACCTAGCCTTATATCATGCACAATACAGTCAATTACAAATACTATCTAGTCTTAAAGCCCGCACGACGCAATCAATAATAGATAATACCTGGTCTTAAAACCAACACAACACAGTCCATCACAGATACTATCTAGTCTTAAAGTTTGCACTGTCACGACCCAGGCCAAGGCTTGAAATTAACTAAAGTGGATATAGACGGTCGAGCAGAGTGAATTAAATTTTCTATATTAATCTATAATTTAACAGATTAAAAAGTCATTAATCAAATTAAATTAAAGTGGTACAATTATTAATTACCTCGTTACAGGTTATCCGCATCTTACGTGCATGTTTTATCTTCTGTCGCTTATCGTTAATCACTTAATTAATCTAAAAAATTAGTTTAAAATAACAATGACCCAAACAAGTCAGTGAATACTCACTCATACTCAAAAACTACAATAATACAAGAGAAAATGAAGCAATATGCATATCAGTCAAGTTTTTAATAAATCAATAAAAACATTTGATGCTATTCAAAGTATCTTATTATAGTAATAACATGTCAACATCATTTTATATCACAATCATCACAGAAGCACCATCTAAAAGTTTATACCAATTAAGGTATTTCAATATCAATATCATTTCTTCATATGTGCATTGGTATCTTATTGTTTCCTCACTAGCAACATCAAAGTGTAACTTCAACAACATCAAAGTATAACTTCATCATAATCAATTATGTACATACAAACATCATATAAAATATTAATTTCTAATTAAATAATATATTCATTTCTTATTTGCATAGCAGTCAAATCATTTAATAATGATGTGCACACATATCATTCATACAATATGAAGAAAAATTAACTAGAATTAAAATTTTCGAGTTTGCAATAATTTTAATATAACCAATGAGAGCACCAGTAAAACATTTGATCCAAAATAAGCAAAATATTATCATATTATAAGAACATGAGTACTCATTTTGATGTCGATTAATTTGATATTTATCTTGATGTCGATTCTTATAAATTGAAAGCTTAAAAAAATATTTTAAATATAATTAGTTTATTATTTTAATAAACTATTAACTTTTCATACTTATTTTATATAATCCTAATTACACACACACGCACACACACGCACACACATGTATACACACAAACACGTTATATAAATATACAAATGATTATTATATATTAATAGAATTCTTATTGAATATTATAATTATTAAACTCACCCTAAAAAATTTCATTTGATCAAGCAATATACACGCGCAGTCGTGATTCGTTCCTTCCTCTACACAAATTCAACCCGTGGCTTCTTCCTCCTTGACCAAAGGAAAAAATGTTGAGATTTTCATATCTATTTTACACAGTTTTTTATGATATTGCACTTTAAAGAAAGATATTTTTGATGTTTTGTTGTAGGAAAGATGAATTAGGGTCATTATAGCAAAAAGATGCAAAAAACAACGAATTTAGAGTGAAAAATGACCAAAATGTTAAGATTTGAACTAGGGCGCCGACGGCGAGCCCAACGGCGCCAACGACGGACTTTTCCAAAGACTCCATAGTTAATTAACTTAGAAGGCCCGCTGACGGCACCCTCGAGGCCGCCGACGGTGAGATCGACAGTTATGTCCAACAAGGCATTGTTTCTTTTTTAGATTTTTAAATGATTTGCATTTAATTTCAACTAAGCGTGAACACCACGAAATTGACATATGTGCCACACAATTAATTCCCCTGCTTGCATGCCTAACACGTAAAATTTGATATTTATATTTATAAAATTATACATGAAAATATGTATTTAATACTATTAATAATTTTTATATAATATTAAGCATTTCAGTGATATGCATGTAAATATGAAAATGCAGATATTAGATATGTAAATACATAAAAACTGTACAGTATCAATACTTAAATACCCACAATTAGCGGCTTTTTAGTTTATGTATATATGTATGTATATATATATATATATTCATGCAAGAGCTTGAAACATCAAAATGCTATACATATAAATAGCAAAATTTAGGTGTGAGATATATAAATAAAAAAGATTTGTTGGCTACAAGTGTTTTATCACTTGACTTGATTGACTCAGTGGCAACTATTTATTTATACCAAGAAAAAACTGCAATTTATATATTATATGTGCACTCAGGCAGTCTCTCTCTCTAGTTTTGCATCACTTCTTAATTATTTTTTGGGAGATTTACACACATAGCACAAAAAGTATATATATATTTACATCTATCGCACCTAAACCTTTATATTTACATATAAAGCACCTGCGTTATCTAAAAAACACAAAAACAATACTCTTTTCAGATCAGAAGACTGGAAATAGATTTAAAGTAAATAAACACAAATTAAAACTGTATTTTGAGGGTAAAAGACCAAATTTTAAAGAGGTTTTAATGATTTAAAGAGTTTTTAATGATCAGTCAACATGAATAATACCTGAATAGGTCGGGCTGACGACGTTAAACCAAGCGCTTTATGGGAGACAACCCATAATTATCTTTATTTTTATTGCGATTATTGTAGTTTTTATTTAAAATTATCGTTAGTTTGTGGTAATATTGAACTCTACTACTCCTATTTACCCTGAATCATCATAAAAATTGGATCCATAAAGAAAAATTAGAACGCATTCGGACTAGAGCGAAATTGTTCAATTTTTGCCTTGGGCGCCGACGGCTCCCCCACCGCCGCCATCGACGCCGCCGACGGCGGGTTTTTCCCGAGAGTCCAGACAAATAAATACTAAAGGCTCACCGACAGCGCCCTCGATGTCGCTGACGGCTGTACCGGAGGGGTG